GGTATTTCCCTACTGTCTCTTCTCACCCATTTGAATAATGTGCATTACTCGTTCCTCATAAAGTGCACAGATGATTACAAAGTACGTTTATACTGAACACGCTGATAACTCCACAATACATAATTTTTTTCTGAATCGCTTAACTGTGAGACTGTACTCCAACTCAGTTTATTCAAACAGATATAGATCAGCCAGATATGAAGATTACATGGTATCCTGAGGTTTTCATTGATGCCTTCAGGAGTAGTAGGAAAACATGTACAAGTCTTTACCTCTGACCATTCCTATCGATCAGAGGATTGGAGCAAGTCCTTCGAGCGAGCTTGATGGCCTAGTGACCATGTTGTAGTTCATTGGTTAGAGTAATCGCCTCGCAAGCAAGAGAACCCAGGTTCGATTCCCAGCCAGGGCGAAACAATAATAAATTGGTCATAATTATTATTATTATTTTCTTGTCCGGGTTCTGTTGTCTTACCTTATAAACAATATGATCCAACATGAAAATCATTAAGTTGGTTATGTGTTGAGTTGAGAAGGCAAGATCTTGTATCTGAAGCTCTCGCTCTAGCTTTCACAGCCTGTCATAAAATCTCTCTCTCTGTCCATAGCCACCTCACTCAGCTTCCTCTATAGGCAAAATCTGAAATCAAAACAGAAGTCACTGGGAATACTCAGCAGGTCAGGCAGCATCTATGGAGAGAGGAGAGTGGGTTAACGTGAGTTCTGATGAAAGGTCATCGACCTGAAACATTAACTCATTTTCCTCTCTCCATGGATGCTGCCTGACCTGCTGAGTGTTCAGGTCGACTTCTGTTTTTATTTCACTCAACTCTCTTCCAGCTCCCACTTCTTCTTTGTAAAGCCCTTTGAGACGTTCTCCCTACGTTAAAGGCCCTCTGTATAAATGCCAAGTTGTAGATTGTCGCACACCTGATTTCTGTACAAAGTGGAGTCCTGTATCTCAGTGGTTAGAGTCCTCGCCTCACAAGCAAGAGGACCTGGGTTCAATTCCCAGACAGGGTGAAACCTTAGGCAGGTTTCCTTACTCCACACGACTCTAATTACCTAGCAGTAAGTAGGAACCCACTTGTTAGCCCAGTTTCCAGGGGTAATAATCCCTCAAAAAAAAATTTGGTCACTCGATCCATGACTGTGTGTGGGACGCTGCTGTGTGCAATTGGTTGCCGTGTTTCGCCCACAAAACACACAATCAATTTACAGTATATTTTGTGAAGTGCTTTGAGGTATCTTAGCAACGTGATAAGATGCTATATCAAATGCAAAGATTATTATTATTATTATTACAATCTCTCCACATACTGCCCGGACACAAGGGGCATCCAGCTCGTCCAGCCTGGCCTTTGTATCTGATCATGACAACTCAGTGGTAATCTTTCTGATCTCATTTCCATGGCTTTCCCTTACTCCTCAAGTAGATAATAATAACAAGATTACATTTGTATAGCGCCTTTCATGTCAGGAAGACGTCCCAAGGCGCTGAATAACAGACTCTTCAGCCTCACTCCTCAGACTCCTTGCTCCCAGTGACTGGTCCGCCATCCCAGCACCTGCTGATGAGCCAGGCCGTGCTGTGCTGTCACCAGCAGTGAGTACTGCAACCCTCCTAGCGCAGGAATCGGACTCAACTCCGACATTCCTTTGCTACGCATGTTACCTTGGGGCCAATTCAGCTCCAAGGTGACCCCGGATCAGGAGGGGTGGAGGGCAAGGAGGGTAGGGGTGGGAGGACTGAAGGCAGGTTTTTAGGCAGGCTGTTAACAACAACATCAAAATTACATTTGTAAAGTGCCTTTCACCTCGGGAGGATGACCCAAGGTGCAGGACAGTCAGTGTTTCGGACCCGAGCTGGGGGTCAGGATGGGGAAGGATGGAGGGCAGGGGTGGGAGAAGCAGGGAGATCGAAGGCACGGTCGAAGAGGGGGGTCTTGAGATTGGTCTTCAAGGAGGCGAAGGAGGGGGCGAGGTGGAGGGACTGCGGACTGGACTTCCAGAGGGTGGGGGCTGAGTGACAAAAGTCCCGCGGCCGCGCATCAATGGTTAAGGGTTTGCGGACATCATCCTGACATGAAAATGACATTATAATGTAATATATAAATATAAATTTGTGTTGTACAGTATTGTTCTGTTGCACTGACTTGTGAGCCCTGAGGTCAGGGTCAGTATCACGTGAGGCCGGGTGATGTACTCTGGGTTTCCCAGGTTATGTTGTGAGGGTTTTGTGTGAACGTGTGCTCTCTGGTGCCTCAATCACAAGCAGTTTGAATAAGCATCCGTTTTGCTACGATTCACTTGGCTTCCTGACCACAGACAAATAGTCATTAAGGCAATTGGCCCGGGAGCAAGTTTTTAATTTCCATCAAATGAACCCAGTAGAATTTCTTACTGCTTTTTCTGGTCAGTTCTTTAATGTCTCCAAGATGTGGCCGGGTCGAGATGTTTGTGATTGTCTGCTTGTCGTTGTAACTTGTTTATTGGAACTGTTGGGATAACTATTGTAGGGAGGATGTTAGTTAATGAAAAAAACAGAGATCACCATAACGTACGCGCTGTTCAAAGTTCGTCTGCCCTGCCCACTCGCTCCCTCTATCTCCACCTTCAAAAACTTACTTTAAGACCTATTTTTTCAACCTTGCTTTTGACCACCTCCCCCCCCCCCCCCCACCACCACCTCCACCCAAAACGTGGCACCCAGTCAGGTGTGTGAAGCACTTTAAGTCATTCGACGTGCAAGGTGCCCATAAATATAAACTGAAATTAGAAAAACTGGAACTGATTTACATTTGTTGCATTAATGCCAATTAGATTAATGATGTGGCAGACTTTCAGGGATCGTTTAATATCAATGTTTCCAATTATCCTTCATTATATGGACTTGTCACAGCACAAAGCATTAAAATCAAAAGTGAGTGCCTCTATACTCTCTTATCCAACTGAAAGACCTGATACTGTTAACATTCCAGATATTTAGTCCTGTAGCTCAGTGGTTAGAGCACTCGCCTTGCAAGCGAGAGTGGGTTCTATTCCCAGCAGGGTGAACTGTTTCCTTACTCCACACCCCTCTGTTTACCAGCAGTAAGTAGGAACCCGATTGTTTTGTCGATTGGCGGATCGCTTTTCCGGGGATAATAATCCTTAAAAAAAAGATAATAATTTTGGTCACTTAATCCATTACTGTGTGTGGGACGCTGCTGTGCACAAATAGCTGCTGCGTTTCGCCCACAAAATATACAGTCACTTCACTTTACAGTGTATTCTGTGGAGTCCTGAAGCTCAGGGGTTAGAGCACTCGCTTTGCAAGCGAGACACCTGGGTTCAATTCCCGGCAGAGGGCGAAACCTTGGGCAAGTTTCCTTACTCCACACAGAGCCTAATAATAATCCTCCAAAACAAAACAATAAAAAATTGGTCATTTTCAATCCACGACTGTTTGTGGGACATTGCTGTGCGCAATTGGCTGCCGCGTTCGCCCACAAATATACAGTCAATTCACTTTACAGTCTATTCTGTGAAGCGCTTTGTGACGTCGCGAAGACGTGAAAAGCTCTATATTAAATGCAAAGATTATTATTATTAAGTTCTGTTGTCCAGAAACTTCCACTATTATCATCCATGGGCCCGGCTAGTCTAGTGGTCACTATGTGGATTGCTCCAGACTGACTACAGTGTGTTGTCAGTCTGGAGCACTGAACAACACAGGATTGCATGTAATAGCAAGTAGTTAGAGCACTCGCCTCGCAAGTGAGAGGACCTGGGTTCGATTCCAGGGCAGGGCAAAACCTTAATTTCCTTACTTCACATGCTTCTGTTTACCTAACGGTAAGTAAGACCCCGGTTGTTAGTCTATTGGCAGATCACTTTCTGGGGTTAATAATCTTTAAAAAAATTTAAAAATAATAATAATTTGGTCACTCAACCCACAGCTGTTTGTGGGACACTGCTGTGCGCAATTGGCTGCAAGAAAATACAAAATGAATTCACTTTACAGTGTATTCTTTGAGAATCAAAGACATGATAAGGCGCCATATCAAATGCAAGGATTATTGTCAGTATTATGTTGGCTTGGCGGCCAAAGCATAATGACTGAACCAGTGAGGGGGTGAGGTGGTGGGTGAGAGGATGAGGTGGTGAGAGGGTGAGGATGTCACAAGTCTGACTTTGACATTAATTGTGTAGAATTTTCTATAATATGATAAACACGTGCATCGCGGGTCGTCATTTTCACAGTTTTATGCATTTTGCTGCTAATATTCCCCCAAAATCCCCTGTCTCTGTGTCTGTGTGTTTGTCTGTGTCTCACTGTGTGTGTATGTCTCTGTCTCGCTGTGTCTCTCTCTGTCTCTCTGTGTCTGTCTGTGTCTCTCTCTATATTTCCATGTCTCTCTGTCTCTGTCTGTGTCTATCTCTATATCTCCATGTCTCTCTGTCTCTCTTTGTGTCTCTCTGTGTGTCTCTGTCTCTCTGTGTCTGTCTGTGTCTCTCTCTATATTTCCATGTCTCTCTCTGTGTCTCTGTGTGTCTCTGTCTCTCTGTGTCTCTGTGTCTGTCTGTGTCTCTCTCTATATTTCCATGTCTCTCTCTGTGTCTCTGTGTGTCTCTGTCTCTCTGTCTCTCTGTGTCTGTCTGTGTCTCTCTCTATATTTCCATGTCTCTCTCTGTGTCTCTGTGTGTCTCTGTCTCTCTGTGTCTCTGTCTCTCTGTGTCTGTCTGTGTCTCTCTCTATATCTCCATGTCCCTCTGTGTCTCTCTGTGTGTCTCTGTCTCTGTGTCTGTCTGTGTCTCTCTCTACACCTCCATGTTCCTCTGTATCTGTCTGTGTCTCTCTGTGTGTCTGTGTCTCTCTGTGTCTCTCTGTCTGTCTGTGTGTCTCTGTGTCTGTCTATCTCTCTGTCTGTCTCTCTGTCTGTCTCTCTGTCTGTCTTTGTGTCTGTCTTTGTGTCTCTCTGTGTCTCTCTGTGTGTCTCTCTGTGTCTCTGTTACAGTGAGCGATCCCTCTCCAGCGCCATCCCAGTACCTCGAAAACAAAGCCATATCTCAAATGTGGGCCCTGATTCTCTCTACCACAGTGAGGTCTCCTCCCCACAGCGAGCCTGGAGACCATCGCACGGGAGCTCAGAGGAAGATCTGCCCTCGAGCTACAACTCATCACTGACTCAAGCTATAACCATGGCGGCCCCACCAAAGGGGTCCCACCCGCAGCGCGTCTCGTCATCTCTGCCGGGCTCTGCTGATGGAAACCAAGAGCAGACTGAGGCTGAGCGAGTTGACAACGGAGAGGCTGGTAGTGAGGAACGCACTGTTACTCAGCTGTCCAGCACCATGAACGGGACAGGAAGCCACCCAGCCCTCACCTTTCCCCCCCCGGTGGGTGTCAGCGGGTTCTGCTCGGTGGAGCGGGCTGAGGAGATCATGGGAATGGAGGCCACGGGCTTGGGGCCAGAGGAGCAGCTGGAAGGTTTCCATTCCATCCCTGTGGAGCCCGCGGTGGCTGTAGAGAGCGATGACCAGGTGCTGGGGGAGCTGGACGTCCAGGGCTTTGAAGAATTCTCCAAGAGAATCTTTGCACTGAACGAGAACGTTTCCAGTTTCCGCCGGCATCGCAAAGGCTCTGACAAGTGAGAGGCCCCGTCCAGCCATCCGTCTGTCTGGGAGCGAGAGGGAGGCGGGGGCCAACAGCAAGCCTGGGAGTCTCCTGGCACTTCTACACAGACTGTTGAGCACTTGTAATGATGAGATTACGGGCCTTGTTCTCATGATGAGATTGGCTAGGGAGGGGGAGGGGAGTGGGGGAGGGGAGGGGAGGGGAGTGGGGGAGGGGAGGGGAGGGGCGAACGGCAGAACATTGAGGAAGCTGATTGTAAACCGGGGCAAATCTAGTCTGGCTGTAGTCCAGAGGTAGAACAAATGTACCCCCTCCTTCTACCACCACCATCCCATTCCTGGTGTAGCAGAGCAGCCAACCATGACCAGCCATCACACATCACCAAATAGTTGTCAGTCCCTCAGGTGTTCGTTTGTCCCAGTAACACAGGGTTTTGTGCTTGGCTGTGACTGTCCCCTCCTTTACACTGTGACTCCCCCCTCCCTCTCCCCCCCTCTTGTTTCCCTGAATTAACCCCTTTGTGTAGAAAGATGGCTTCAAGCCCCTGCATCTCCCAGTTGACCTCTGACCTGCCATTCAGGTTCAGGCTGGTACCTCAGCTGCGACAGTATTGACATTGAGCGAGTGGCGGGCGACTGGATAACTCCATTACACCAGCCACAGCCGCAGACCACTGACACCTTGGCTTCAGACGACCCTGTGTGTGATAGACCAGAGAACCTGTCGTTGCTTTGTGGAGGTTTCCTGAGATACTCATCGGCAAAGGCAGCAAAGTATCAGTGTGTAACCGGAAAGCATTGCCTTCCCCGCAGGGTGTACAGTATTCCATTGGCCAGTAATCAGTGTCATCACACTGTCCCCACACACAGCGTGAGCACAGCGAGCAGCACCCAGTAATCTGTGTCACTATCCCTACAGCCAGCGGAAATGTTTTTAAACCAGACGCTGAGCTATTCCCACAAACACTCCAGATACTGGCTGTTTGTAACTCCACACGAACACTGCTCCTGTGTCTCTGTCTCTCTGTGTCTGCGTATCTCTGTGTCTGGTGTCTCTTGTCTATCTCTCTGTGTCTCTGTGTCTGTGGCTCTGTCTCTGTGTCTATCTCTCTTTATCTCTGTCTCCCTGTGTTTGTGTCTCTTGTGTCTGTCTCTCTGTGACTCTTTGTGTCTGTCTCTCTGTCTCACTGTTTCTGTGTCTGTGTCTCTGTCTCTCTGTGTCTGTGCCTCTGACTCTCTGTGTCTGTGTCTCTGTCTCTCTGTGAATGAGTCTCTGTCTCTTTGTGTCTGTCTCTCTGTGTCTGTGTTTCTGTCTCTCTGTGTCTGTGTCTCTGTCTCTCTGTGTCTGTCTCTCTGTCTCTCTGTGTCTGTGTCTCTCTGTCTCTCTGTCTCTGCAACACCAATCTCTCTGTTGCACCACATCTGTTAAGAGTCCTTTTGATGCTCCGCTGGTTTCTCCAGTGACAAATGCATCTGATGCCGGATGTTTGCCTAATTACACTGTTTATTTCCAGGATTTATTATAACCAGAGGAGCTTTCTGCCTCCCGGCCGACTTTCAATGAAAATTATTACCCATTTAATTTCCCTTCATTTAAAAATGAACGTCTTTTCCTGCACTCTTTGTTATAACTAAACCGAGGAGCCAGTGTATGAACGCTGGCTGACCTTGCGTCTTTCTTTCAAGGTCAGATCGATGTCTTTACCTGTACGCTTCCTTCTCTAACGGTCTGAGGGTGGGGGGGCAGGGGGACAAATCATGTAAAATGGTGGAAGTTTTGCATAATGTCCCATCAAGTCCGTCTTAATGTAAGCAAGAGGCAGCGTCTGATCCAGAGGCTGTTTGTAACTGTTCTTAGCTGACATCCACCTTGTGAATACCAACCCCTGTCTGTCCCCATGTTATCCAGCCTTTCCTTTTGTTCTGTAGCTGCTCCACAGTTTGAGACAACCTATTGAAATTCCACTGTCTTCCTGTCAGTTGTTCAGTCCCTCCAAGGTGTGTGGCCACACAGGGAATCCGCCTTTGCCAGTCTGTTAATCCCAGTAATTTGCTGGCCAAGTCTGATCCCGGGAATCTCTGCCCCCGGCTGACACTCGCAGTGTCCCTGCACACACTTACCTGTTCCCAGATCATCTCAGGGTTAGAATAATACTGATAACGTGCTTGAGGGTTAGCTTCTCCTGTTAGTGCGTGTCTCAGACTAGCTGAGACCCTTTAGTTGAGGTGTTGGACGTTGCAGTGAATTCCTCAGTCACTCACTGTCCTTACATCTCAGCTCTGAGACGCCAGACTCCTCACTCCACTGCCTTCAAACATCCAACAGCCAAACTGCCGCACACTCACCCACTGCCACACACTCACCCACTGCCACACACTCACCCTCTGCCACACTCACCCACTGCCACACACTCACCCATTGCATTAAGCAATAATTACTCTAAAGTGCTCTGACAATTTGCACTATAAAACATGCACATTCTTATACAGCACCCACACAATACACAGTAACTACACTTTACAGTATATCCTATGAAACACTTTGAGACGCCTGGAAGTCGTGATAAGATGCGGAATCAAATGCAAGGATTATTATTAGCGATCACAAAAAATGGCATTTGATTCTTCCCTTTCCACTCACTCGGTTACTGAAAGCTTGACACAAACTAGGTTCATAAAAAAATTACCACTAATCCAGCCTCTAACCTGCTCACCTTCAAGTCTAGCTGGAACATGCTCAACATCCACTGGGTCTATGCGCTGCCAAGTCTCTGGTTTCCGAATGAGGGTCTGCAGCTTCTCACTCATTGCATTAGGAAAAAGGTTACACCGTAATCATGAATCCCTTAATGAACACATGATGAATGTTCCTTGTGGTCTGGTACCCACAGACTCTCAACCCAACTCCACCCAGCACCACACTGTCCCTCTCCCCTTTCACATGCTAAGTATTGTTCATGGCAGTGGCTGGGTGGGCCTGCTGTCTGCTAATCACACCCTGTTGTTCATCATCTGGCTCAAACATAATACTACACAACAGAGGGGACAACAGCTGAGGGTGGATGTCTGACACAGGTTATGTGTGATCGAGGGTCTCAGGTCTGAAAGTTGGCTCCATCTGATGCTCCACTGAACCTCTGGTTTGGTGCTCAGGAAACTTCTGTAGGTTTCAGCCTGGCACAGGTAACACTTTCACCTTTGTCAGAAGGTTGTAGGTTCAAGCCCTAATTGGAGCTTCAAACCTCAGACATTGTGTGAGAGAGAGTGGCTTCAAACTCGCAGCCAAAGCAGTCACTCCAGTCCAATGTTGCACATAAATATGCTGTGCTTCAGATTAGACATTAAACCAACAACCTATCTTCCTATTTAGGTGGACGTTAAAGATCCGGTGCACTATTCAAAAAAAAAGAGTTTCTCCAAATGCCTCGGCCAACAACACCTCAAATAAGTTGAACGTTCACTTGTAGGACATTCCTGTGCAAATTGTCTGGCATGTTTCCCTACAATTACAGAGTCAGTTTTACTGAAAACTCTGCTTTGAGATGTTTCTGCATGATGAGGTGCTACATCAAACACAAGGAATATATACCCCACCCACTCCAACAGCAGCTTAGGGCTTTTACTTAGGTGACTGCAATGAAGCAATGCATCCAATTCCACATCTTTGAGGCTCTCTGTTGCCAGTGTTTGAGCTCAGTCTTTACAACCTCCCTATTCCATTCATTGGGGGGAATCTTCATTTAAGTCGGTGAACTTTGCACCCTGCTCTGCTCTGGGACAGTTTGGAGAATCGGTGGTGGTGAAAACATGGGGACGGTTTAGTCTCAGCAACTCTGTCGGAGGTGAGCGAAATGTATATATGTATTTCTCCCTCTGTGTTGGCAAAGGGAGAATCAGCAGCCTCTGGACCAGAAATACTAACAACATCATCGAGGGATAGGCTGCTCACCCTGCGAGAGAGCACTAGCACTTACACACTGTTTGTTATTAGTGGACACCGTTACCAGTGGTGAACTTGAGGTGGAAGCAATTCCACATTGTCAGAAATCATTGCTGACCGGTGTGTGTGTGTATGTGTCCCTCCCCACCCCCATCATGTCCGTTTTTTTGATTTCTATTTATTCAAAAGAAAATGCAGTGGTTTATTTAAAAGATTTGCAATAGTTACTCTTGACGGTAAAGGCTGACACTGTGATCCAGATTGGCTGGTGGCTGATGTTGTGGGGGAGAACAGAGTACAGATGAAAGTGGAGGAAAATAAACCCTGATAAACAAAATATATTAAAATATTGTTTTACCATAAAATGTTGCAATGTTTTCTGACACTGTGTGAATCTTGATTTTCTTGCATTTTTTTTCTGAAAATGATAGTTCTATATTTTAATATATAATCTTTTGAATTCTTGATATTTATCCCCCTTCTCTCTTTCCCTATCTCCCCTCTTCACTTCCCCCCACCCCCTCCCTCTCTTTTTCCTCCCATCTCCTCCTTCTCCGCCCAACTCATCCATACGCGGAATCAACACACCTCTGTTTACCTGGCAGTAATTGGGAACCTGCGTGTTAGTCGATTGGCGGATCACTTTTCCGGGGCTTTTCCCTCAAAAAAAAATGGTCATTCAATCCATGACTGTTTGTGGGACTCTGCTGTGCGCAATTGGCTGCCATGTTTCACCCATAAAACACATGGTCAATTCACTTTACAGTATATCTTGTGAAGCGCTTTGAGACGTCTCAATGACATGATAAGGTGCTGTATCAAATGTAAGGATTATTAGTCAATCTCCTTGGTACTGATTCCAACTAGATTCAGGGCTGCAAAGGATAATTTCAGGATGGACTCCAGGAAGTATTTCCTTGCTCAGAGGTCACTGATCTTTTGGGAAGAGGGTGGGGGCGTGGAGTATTCTCTTTTTCTTCATTGCTCTTTGTGTGACTATTTTGTGGGCAAAAGACGGCAGCCAATTGCACACAGCAGCGTCCCACAAACAGTCGTGGATTGAGTGACCATTATTATTTTAGGGAAGGGGATTATTGTCCCCGGAAAACGATCCACAAATCGACCGACAACCGACTTCCTGCTCACTGCTGGTAAACAGGTTCTTTCGCTTGTGAGGCAAGTGCTCTAACCAGCGCACTATCAATACCTTGATGTTGTTA